AAAAATGGTGAGACAAAAGGTGTGCACTCCTAGATTCAAGAGGAAGATTCAAAATTCTGCAAGCCAGGTAAGTGTCTTAAATCTCTTCTCACTCAAGATTTTGGATTATTTCATACATGCACACAGGGGGAGAATGTGTAGATGATGATTCAGAAGATGAAGATAATGAGACGATAATGATTCCATCAATGGAACTGAGAACGTACAGGAACAAAAGAAAAAGACAAGGTCAAAGTGGTCAGAGTTACTTCAAATTTAAGTCAAACTTGTCTGAGTGAATGTGGAGAAATGTGTTGTTAAGTGAATCAAAGTCAAATATGTCTGAATCATGATGCGAATCCTGATGCGAAGTTGTGCTGAATTGAGAACATTTTTATGTGTGTGTGCATGATCTGAAATAACCAAAAAGGGGGAGATTGTTAGTGCAATTATTTGCACATGTGTTTTTTGGTTGTTAAGTAGTTATTGCAGGTTCAACAAGCTTGAGAGATTTCAGGAGAAGAATCCGGCGAGATAGAACTCACGCAATTCTGAGGTACAACTGACGAGTTTGAGATAAAGTCAAAGACTAAGAGATTAAGATGAACTCAATGTCAACCACTTGGAGAGATTTTAGGAAAAGCAATCTGAAGATATAGAACCACGAAGTTAAGCCACGAAGTTTGGATTTGACTTGAAGAGATGAAGATAGAATCAAAGCCAAGAAGATTTGAGGAGATTTGAGATAAAGATAAGATCTTGGAGATAAGGTCAAAGGCTGAAGAGATAGAGTCAAACAAGAGATAAAGATGAGATCTTGAAGATAAAGATGAAATCAAAGAAAATCAAAGAGGAGTCTATCAAATCAATTCGTGGAGATCTAAGGCGAACTGGAGGAGCCTATATAAAGGAGAGAGCAAGTGCATATCAGTTCTCACGGAGAGCAAAACATATTTTACTAAAAGAGAGTCTTTTTGTTGGTTAGTGATAACTCACTTTTGAGTGAGTGTGTATCTGAGGAAGAGACCGATTGGGCAAATCTCTTTCCTCTGGTGAGTGTTTGGGCGTGGATCTGAGGGGGAGACCTAATGGAAAAATCTCTATTCCTTTGGTGAGCGTTAATGTTTGGTAAGGTTTTTAATCGGTAGAATTTATTGTGAGAGTGAGTTGAAACTCAGGGGGAGTTTCATCTGGGTGTTGAGTAGCTCTAACAAAAAGTGAGTTGTACTTGACTTTTTCTCAAGTGAATAGAACTGATTAGTGTTCCTTTGTATATTGCGTATATTTAAATTTGTAGTATAAATATTTATGTTTTAAGGACAAGGATCAAGAGTATTAATCAAGAGAACGGAAAATAAATCATACTTCATTAGAACAACATTTATGATTTTTTTTTATAAAAATTAAATAGGTGTATTCCTCTAACATTAGTTTTATTAAATTTTATTATTAATTTTTGTGAATTATTTTTTAATCAAATTTTTTGATGCATTTTTTTTTTAATTTTAGTTGACTATGTGATTTTATGTACTAACGTTTATAGAGATCCTAATTATGTATAATTTGGATTTTTCAATCATATACACATTTTATGTACCGAAATATACAATACACATTAATTTTTGTAATTGTTATAAATAAAATTTATAGTATTTATACCTTTTTATTATATTTTTAGTAATATATATTTTTCTTAAACAAAAGGTTTCTTCCATTTGATTATTCAATTTGTTAAATTTTTTTCTTTTTTATTAATTGTCTTCATTTTCTATAGATTCTGAAATTCAATTTGAAAGATGGACAAACTTGAAAAGTTTTTTTTTATAAATATTGCAAAGTATAAAAGAAATCATTATTGTTCAATTTTGTTTCCAAAAACCTATTTTGTAAAAGTATCACAAGTTAAAACTTATTTTATCATATTTATACAGATCTATAATGGAAACACCATTCGTTACGTCGATTGTATCAAAGAATAATGACCGCACGATCTAAATCATTTTGTAGTCCTTACTTCGTTTTTTTTCTCTCGTACTTTGTAGTTTGATCTGAGTGTAGTCATTTGAATGGAGATCCAGAATTGATATCCTATTTTGATTATAATATACAAAGTAAATGAGCAGGATTTGGACTCGTAAAACAACATCTTTGATTAGATCATAACATACTGAAATTCGTTGAAAATATGTTGCTTGTAACATATAACTTATTCTTGTAAAATATCTTTTGTAATAGTTAAGTATTAATTATAGTTATCATTGTTATTTATATATTCACTTGATCGTCAATCTCAGATCTTCCATCATCTTCTTTATTCATATTCGCAACTCTCTCTGAATTCTTCTCAAATATCTTACCATCTTCTTTATTCGCATTCACAGTTGTGTCTGGATTCTTCTCTTCCTTATCCACGACTCTTTTTGAACTCTCATTCACCGTTAATTCGTCAGATTGGACGGATATCAGGATAAACTCGACCGGAATGAAGAACAATTTGCATGCTTCATTGTATAAAGAAGGTACGATTTGTCCTGAGTTGGCATGGTTAACATTAACAGAAAATAAATCGAATAGTCTAGCACCATCGAAAGCGCTCTTTTATAATATACCTAAACAAACATTCCATTTATATAATATATGACACAAAAAACAGATCAATCTGAAAACTGAAACATAAATCCATACAAGACATCATAACAATATAAAAACTAAAAAATAAATCTGTTAAGGTTGTTATTGCAGGTAGATCTGAGAAGATTCTAAAGCTGATTTTGTGGAAGAGATAAAGATGGAATCTTGGAGATAGAGTTTGGCCAACAACCTTGGAGAAAAAGATAGAATCAAATCAACAAACAATTGGAGTTGAAGAGAAAGCTATATAAGAACGACAAAGAGGAAGAGAGGACACACTGAGCTTAAAAGATTATCATTCAGAGAGTACAAGAGTTTTTGGTCTTTACGTTTTTATTTCTGGTGAGTGAGATCGTTCTGAGGGGGAGTTCTCAACAGTAATCTGAACAAACCCAGAACGTGAGAGTGGGGATTCACACGGGTTGTGTGTTGAATCAGTAGATTTCGTGTCTTAGGAGGGCTAACACTCAGGGGGAGTGTGGTGCGTCTGGGCTTTACTGCAACTATCTCTATGTTGTAGTCAGATTTCCTTGAATGAAAAGAACTGATTTTGAGTGATATCTGAGTGCGTCAGTTATTTCAAGTGGTATCAGAGCCCGGTCACCAGTCGTAGGATAATTTTCTCTCATATCGGTGCAGGGTAAGAGACGCACAATGCAGACATCCAAGGAATTTCAACCGCTAGTGAAGGTACCATTGTTGGATTCAAGTAACTATGGTTACTGGAAGGTGAAAGTCATGAATCTGATTAGAGGTCTTGATGAAGATGCGTGGAGGGCTGTAGAAGAAGGATGGGATTTTCCGAAAGTCATTGGAGATGATGGGACAGAAGTTATCAAGCCCGGTTCTCAGTGGACCCTCACTGAGAAAAAGGCGTCAGCACTCAATGCAAAAGCTCTGACTATAATCTTCAACACTGTCGATTCAGATGAGTTTAAGCAAATTCAGGGGTGCAAAACTGCAAAAGAAGCATGGAACACGCTGGAGTTGATTCATGAAGGAACAAAAAACGTGAAACGCACTAGAAGAGACATGTTAAAGGCGCAGTTCAATCAACTCAGAATGGAAGAGTATGAGACTGTCAAAGAATTCAGTGGTAAACTGAGTGCTATGGCGAATGAGGCATGGGCACTTGGCACAGCATACTCTGACAAAAAACTAGTGAAGAAACTTCTTGCGAGTTTACCCATCAGGTTCTTATCTCAGAAAACCTCTTTTCAGACTTTTTATGATACTGATACAGTTAGCTTCAAAGAAACTGTAGGGGTGTTCGCGACACATGAATTGGAACTGAGTATGTATGAGACTTCGTCAGGAACATCTCGTAAACAGCCAGTTGCATTTCATGTTCCAGAATCTGAACCCAGAAATAAGCTTGAGGAAGACATGTCTCTAATTGTCAAAAAGATGAACAAGTTCTTCAAACGAAGACCTAGCACCGTACAACGAACAGAAGGAAAATCGAGTGGAAAGTGTATGGAGTGCAAAGGGTATGGACATTGGAAAGATGAATGTCCATCAATCATTAAAAGAGAAGCAATGATCAAAACCCTGAAAGAAGTACAATGTTATGAGTGCAAGGGTTTTGGACACACCAAGAATGAGTGCATAACCTCGGTGAAAGGGAAATCATTAATTAATCATGAAGATTCAGAATCAGAGTCAGAAGATGATGAGGAAGCCCTGAACAACTATGTGGCATTTATCGGAATAATCGATGAGAATGATGTCATGATGACAGAAGACCTGGAGGCTGATCTGAAGATTGATGAAGTTTATGATGACTTGATGAAGATGTATGACATCAACATGAAGCTTGTTAAGGAGAAGAATAGACTTGAGTCAGAACTCAAGGAAACTCAGAAGAAACTGGAGCAGCAGATTGAAGAAACGACAAATGCAAAATGTCAACTTGAAGAGACAAAGAAGAATCTGCATATGCTTGGAAATGGGACAAAGAAACTGGATTTCATTCTAAGTCAAGGAAGACAAAGCTCAAACCACACTGGGTTAGGGTACACTGGAGAGGCAAGCAAAACTGACAGGAAGTTTGTATCTGGAGAACAACTTTCTGATGAGCTACAACAATGCCCAAAGCTAGCTGAGGTACAACAATTTTCTCGACGAACTCCAAGAATCAAAGAGGATATGCGATCCTCTTGGACTGAAATTCGGAGATGTTACAACTGTGGTAGACGTGGGCATATTCGTAGGAACTGCTATCTTTATCGCTTCAGGTCAGGCAAGTCTCATTATTCTCTCACTGGTCAAGTCAGACAACGTTGGGTACGAAAGGATTTATTGCACTGTAATATTGCTCATACATCTCAACAGGTAAACACTAATGATCATTGGTATTTTGATAGTGGATGTTCTAGGCATATGACAGAAAATCATGAGATTCTCTCAAACTTCGTTCAAAACGCAAAAGGAGGAAGTGTAACCTTTGGCGATGGAAAAAAGGGAAAGATCTTAAGTAAGGGGACACTGAATGTCAGTGGACTTCCAAAACTGAAGGATGTGAAAGTTGTACAAGGGTTGAGAGCAAATTTGATCAGTATTAGTCAATTGTGTGACGATGGGATGAAGGTAAAGTTCACCAAAAATGCATGTTTTGTTTCTAATCAAACAAATGAGTGTATTCTCACAGGGAGAAAAGACCCCAAATAATTGCTATACCTGGATGGATGAGAATATCAAGGAACACCAGTGCTTCAAAGCAACAGATGCCGCTCGAGGTCTTTCAGAGTTATCTCAACATGTTAAGCAAGTCAGGGCTCAAGGAATCCGTACATCACAAATCTTGGAACAAATTAGATCAATCCAGATTGGGAACATCAGTAGAAAAAGGTACGTACATGTTTGCATTGATGATTTCTCACAGTTTTCCCCCAGGAACGTTTGACGTCCGACGAGATTGCACTGGCTCAGAAGTACACCAGCAAAAAAAAAAAGGAGAGATTCACAAACAGAGCCAGAAGAATCAGACTTTGAAAGAGAAGTATAACATTGATGAGGCAAGACGTAGATGAGAAAGATCTGCAGGATGATGATGCACGTAACTCGTATTGATAAAACAAATTCTCTCAGATTGTGGTATTTATTCTGACTCTTTACTACTCATTAAGTACGGTCCCACTGAAAATCAATTGACAAACATATTCACTAAATCTCATGAGATGAATATGTTTGTGTTTACAATGATGTGTTGGGATTTGTGAGTTATGAAAAATAGTTTTTTCATTTAAATCAGTGAAAAATGTGTTTGATGAGGAAAAACTATTCTGAAGGTAGTATGACTAAGAGAATGAATATGAGAGTCAAAAACACTTGCGAATCAGTCAGATACTTCTCACGAGAGTGAAAAAAAAAAAGAATGAGAAAACAAAGAGAGAAAAAGACTAACATTCTGACACTCCTCTGTCCTGAGAAATGATGATATGAGTGGATTGAAAAACAATGGCTCGGGTCTAAGTTGTGAAACAAGAGTTCTAAACGATGGTCTAAGGGCTGACGGTAAAAAAAAAAGAAAAAAGAAAAAGAAGGAGACCGAAATACTCCTCTGTAACGTTTAAAACAAGACAAGAGTATATCTCAAAGAGATAGTCTGGACTTAAATGGTAAGAACTACTTGTTGATTTCAACGTCCTAGAAGTCCAGAATGTTAGTTACAATAGTTCTCCGTGTGCTGAACAAGAGAAACTGATGTGAGAAGTCTTTCATGATTAGTGAGTGTAGCTGACAGAAATATTCATAAATCTGGTCAGAATATTATTTGGATGGTTAGACTGACTCAAGACGTTGTGATCTGATTGTGTGTGAAATATTTTTTCATATGATTTTAAATGATATATGTTTTTACAATCTATTCAAATCTGAGTGAATGAGTTTGCAAAACTGATTGAAGTGGGAATCGGAAAATCAGAGTTGTCTGGATATATACTCTAGAGTTTTTTTGAATTTCATCTCATACACACAGGGGGAGATATGGATCAAATACTTCAGACAAGTGAAGTACATCTCAAGTGAAGTACATCTCAAGTGAAATACATCTGATGTCAGGGGGAGATCATTATTCTAACGATTTGTTTTGGGTGTGAATGAGTTGAAAGTCAAAAAGGGGGAGAATGTTAAGGTTGTTATTGCAGGTAGATCTGAGAAGATTCTAAAGCTGATTTTGAGGAAGAGATAAAGATGGAATCTTGAAGATAGAGTTTGGGCAACAACCTTGGAGAAAAAGATAGAATCAAATCAACAAACAATTGGAGCTCTTGCGGAACGGTCCGTCCGTTCCTCAGCGGAACGAACGTTCCTCAGCGGAACTCTTCCAGATCGCTTCGTCGCTCTTTTCTCGCGTTGTTCTCTTCACGTGTGATCCATCCCTAATGGTGTGTGACCCTGTAGGCCCATTCGAAGTGGCAGTGGCTTCGGAAACCTTTCCCGAACCACAAGTCATGGTTAGTCTCTAGCAAGACGCCATGACCACCCACCTAGAATAGAGTTAGAGGTGATCTAACAAAGCCAGCAATAGTTCGAGTTCTGATCCTTTGTCTCACGATGTCGTATGTTGAACAAGGGCATGGTTCGAGCCACCCTTCAAGTTCAACCGCTTACTCGTCTAGGCAAACCGACTGATAAAATAGATGTACATTCATCTATAGCGTGGCCACGCATTTTCACAGTCCGATTTCCACGAGGGGCCCAGCGACATCTCTCCTGCGTAGGAGGTGACAAGTCCCGTATTGCATGTCTACTATCTGCATATGATTCGTTAACGTATCTGAGCAACGCCGTTATGATCATCCGGTTAAAGACGACGTTTGACGCAGTCAAGACACGTCACTCCTCATATCAGATACTCTAGACATCTCAGGTCTGAGGATCCAAGAATGAACCGCTGTATGAGATTCAAGTCATGACTCATGTCCATGTGACAATCTCATGCGGGTCATCCAGTAACTCGTTCCAAACGAGAACCCATGATTGTGATTTGCATCTAATGCATATGATCATAATCATCTATCACACATCATGCTGGTCTTAATTCATCATTGTTCCCACAATGATAACTGACCAGGGAATTTAGAATCATCTGCAATGATTCAAGGATATTTACCGTAATATAACAAACATGCTAATAATATAACGGGAAAAGTAATGCATTCATAAACCAATGAATCAATACATAGTCAAAATATCATATCACGGATCATCGTAGAGCATTACAACCAACAAAATATTCATAAATCTGGTTAGAATATTATTTGGATGGTTAGACTGACTCAAGATGTTGTGATCTGATTGTGTGTGAAATATTTTCTCATATGATTTTAATGATGTATGTTTTTACAATCTATTCAAATCTGAGTGATTGAGTGAATGAGTTTGCAAAACTGATTGAAGTGGGAATCGGAAAATCAGAGTAGTAAATGTCTGTATATATACTCTAGAGTTTTTTTGAATTTCATCTCATACACACAGGGGGAGATATGGATCAAATACTTTAGACAAGTGAAGTACATCTCAAGTGAAGTACATCTCAAGTTAAATACATCTGATGTCAGGGGGAGATCATTATTCTAACGATCTGTTTTGGGTGTGAATGAGTCGAAAGTCAAAAAGGGAGAGAATGTTAAGGTTGTTATTGCAGGTAGATCTGAGAAGATTCTAAAGCTGATTTTGTGGAAGAGATAAAGATGGAATCTTGGAGATAGAGTTTGGCCAACAACCTTGGAGAAAAAGATAAAATCAAATCAACAAACAATTGGAGTTGAAGAGAAAGCTGTATAAGAACGACAAAGAGGAAGAGAGGACATACTGAGCTTAAAAGATTATCATTCAGAGAGTACAAGAGTTTTTGGTCTTTACGTTTTTATTTCTGGTGAGTGAGATCGTTCTGAGGGGAGTTCTCAACAGTAATCTGAACAAACCCAGAACGTGAGAGTGAAGATTCATACGGGTTGTGTGTTGAATCAGTAGATTTCGTGTCTTAGGAGGGCTAACACTCAGGGGGAGTGTGGTGCGTCTGGGCTTTACTGCAACTATCTCTATGTTGTAGTAGTCAGATTTCCTTGAATGAAAAGAACTGATTTTGAGTGATATCTGAGTGCGTCAGTTATTTCAAAATCAAATATACCCTCATACCCAAGTTTGATATCTATTCCTTGAATAACACTATCATCATATTTTATCTAGATCATAGTCCTGTTTTTATATAATTTTATATGTATATATTTTTGTTACCGATTAAACTGTAATTGTGGTTCTACTATTATGTTTATGTTTTTGTACAATCTAACATTTTCTATGTATCTAAAAGGCAATTCAATTGGGTGGATTGGCATATATTAAGAAAACATTAATTATTTAGCTAATAATTCTTTACAAGACAAAAAAATATAGATTAGTCTATATATAACAAAAAATATATATACAATATATATATATATATATATATATATATATATATATA